CAGAGATCATAAATTTGAAGTTTTATGACTCAATCTGAAACGATCCGAATAAGGCTCTCAGAGCCAGGCTAATGTCAAGGTCCTCATCCACCCTTGATCTTCCTTGGTGGGGCACACAGTGGAAATCTGCCATTTAGTTCAGCTAGCTGCCACCACAGTATCTGCAGCAACTCCCATAGAGAGTGAGACACTATTTGCCTAGCCCTTGAATGCATGGTGGCCTCTGGATTTCCTCTGATCCACAGAATGTGACATAGGTGACCTTGTTGATTCCCCAGGCTATGCTTTAACAAGTCTGACTCCCTCCACCTGCATGGATGCTGCCCACACACGGACAATGTAGCCTGTGAAGGATGATGGGCCACATCCTCCTACAAGAGAATCCTCCTGGAAGAAGGAGGACTCCTTCTTCCTTCAGGAGAAGACTTGTGGCCCTCCGTGGATAGCATCACCGACAGCCAGACATGTGAGACTACTTTGGACCTTCAGCTCAGCTGACTCTCCAGTTCAGCATTTGGAAAACAATGGGGCAAATCTGACCCTCAGCCTGTTTTATGTTAGGCCCTTGAGCTAAGAACACCTTTTGCTTTTCAAAGGTTTATAAAAAAAAATGAAATAAATAGGTAATAGAATAATAGGTAACACAGACAAAGCCTAAAATATGCATTATCTGGCCCTTTATAGAAAATTTTGCTGATCCCTGCTACAGCTGAATATAACTATGTAAGCCCAAACAAAACCAACCAACTCTCAGAATCATGAGAAATATCAAAGGTGTATTTTTTTTAAAGATTTTATTATTTATTTGACAGACATAGATCACAAGTAGCAGACAGGCAGGCAGAGAGAGAGAGAAGAGGAAGCAGGCTCCCTGCTGAGCAGAGAGCCCAATGCAGGACTCAATCCCAGGACACTGGGATCATGACCTGAGCCGAAGGCAGAGGCTTTAACCCACTGAGCCACCCAGGGCACCCCTCAAACATGTATTTTTAATACGTGGGAAAGTTCATTCTACTGCAGTGGATAACTGAATCACAAGCTGCTAAATGCTACACAATGAACAAAGAAACTGCCTCAAAGGAAATAATCTCTTAAAGGTTTTGGACCTTTTCTTCTCACTTGTTTAATTTAGGTGGATTTCTTATCCCAATCTGGCTGCCTACGGCTCTGTTTCGCATTCTAGGAGGATTCTGGCAGCTACAAGCACACATACATACTAGTTACTCATGGGACTTCAAAACATTTTTAAAACAAGTATTGGAGGGCTCCTGGCTGGCTCAGTGAGCAGAGCCTGTGACTCTTGATCTAGGGGTTATGAGTTCGAGCCCCTCACTGGGTATAGAGATTACTTAAAAATAAATAAATAAATAAATAAAAACACGTATTAAACTGTAACTTTTCTAAAATAAAAACACAAAATTTGTAAGATATATTATCAATGTCCTACAGCATCCTTCCAGATACAGAGGTCTTTTCCTCCCCTAGATTAACCTATCTGCAATGGAGCCTGCCTAGTTCTGTTATCAACGGACTTCCTTTACTTAGTGAGGTAAACTGTTAGCCAAGGTGGGGTGAAGAATGGCTGTGACAAAGGATTAGCTAGCAGTAATCACTTTACCCTTTGCAAAGGGCACAGCCACCCACCAGGGCTGTAACCAGGAAAAGAATCACAACAATGATTTAGATCTGAATATTCATTTAACCTGAATTTCCACTACTACTATCTAAATGCAGTTTCCTTGTACACTCATTTTATTTATTTTTTTGTTTTGTTTTTTTTAAGATTTTATTTATTTATTTGACAGACAGCGATTACAAGTAGAGAGGCAGGCAGGGCGGGGGAAGCAGGCTCACTGCTGAGCAGAGAGCCCGATGCAGGGCTCCATCCTGGGACCCTGAAATCATGACCTGAGCTGAAGGCAGAGGCTTTAACCCACTAAGCCACCCAGGCGCCCCTGTACACCAATTTTAACTCCTATATTCACCTATATTATTTTCAAAGAACCTTCAAATTATTACAAATGATTTTTAAATGCATGTTTCACTCCTCTATCCTTTCCCTTTTGCAGACAAAGGGAAGCAGCAGTATGATAAGGAAGCAGTAGCAGGTGAACCAAGGAATCTGTAAACAAAAAGAAATGGTGGGCCTTATTTACAGCCGATGCAAATGTGTGGGTCACAATTGGGGATGGGCAGTTATGACTAGGCTTGAAGTCAATAGATGACCCAGACCCACTAGATTTTGAACAAAGGACTAATATGATCAATAGTACACATCTAAATTTGCATTTGGCATAGAGCAGTGTGGTAGCTCCCTTCCAAATATTTCCCTCCTCTCCCACAGTGGGCCTCATCTCCTGGTGATCATGCCCTTGTCTGATCTCCTCCATTTGAATCCTGAATAGTTTGACACTTGCTTTTGACCAATAGAGTGTGACAAAAATGATGCTACATCACTTACAAGGCTCACTTCTGCTTAGCAGCTTCTGGTCTTAGGGCTTTCAGTATGCGGACTCTGATGAAATTCAGATCAACTGTTAGGGGCAAGAGCAGATGATAATTAGCCGATGCAAATGAAAATTCACTGATACAACCCAGTGACTCAGACCAGCTTACTAAAAATTGTCCTCTTTTGAGAAGTGGGGATATGGGCTGTTTAGAACTCTCCATTTGTGCACTAGATGATGCCCTTTGAGAGTTCTCTTGTGGAAGTTGAGGCGGCCATTGTTATATAGAGTAAACTTGGCATAACTCTTGCCCAGCACAGCTTATAAGCTTAAAACGGATGAGCTCACATCCATAGATATTTATATGAGCCAGAGACCAGAAGACCACAGCATTACATACTCCTGATTAGTTTCTGCTATTAGAACAGAGCTGGTAGTATACATCAGGTATGCCCAGGTAAACATAGGACACTCCTGGATCTTACAAAATCATCTTAAAACATGCATCACAAGACTTGTAGAAAACCCCACTGCTTTTACAGAATTAACCACAAGAACTCTAAAGTGGCCCAAACTCTGAAGAGACCAGAGTTTTGCTGTTCTTTGAATAAAGCTAGAATTTAATTCACTGAAGCATCTATTACAAGGTGACCTGCAGTAGGAGGTACCAGAATGAGCCAGATGATTACCCTACCCACTCAGGTAAATGGATTTTTAACCTGTGTTCTCCTCACAGGAATCTAAGATATTCTCTTACAAGGAATTCCAAAATCTCCATTGTCTAGATTATCTATTAACCACAAAAGGGAAAGTAGACTTTATAATGGACTATATGGAGAAATCCGGAGGACAATTCAGATTTCAGTTATTAATAATGGGGCAACCTAATATTATATATTTAAAGGTTAATATTATGTGTTTAATATTTAATACTATGTTCTTCTGGATGGGAAACAATATGAAGAGCACCTCTTAAAGTCCGAAAGATTCTTGACATCTAACCAAACCTCTTGATCTTTATTCTACTTTACAGTAAATGGGGAAGCTAGAGAAGAGGTTGAATGATATCAGGAGGAATAAAAGGTCAAACAAATGGAGCTGAAACCTCTGCCCATAACTGTCCTAGACTCTCCAAAAAGTTACTGCCATGAAAACAAAAATGTTGGGGGAGGTTGTTCTGCATTAAAAGAGAGAAGCATAACAAATGCAATGCAGGAATCTTCATTGGACTATCCTTCCACAAAACCAATATATAAAACATCTTTTGACAATCAGAGAAATTTGCGTTATGTGCTAGATATCAGGTTAAATTATCATATTACTAAGTTTCTTAGATGCGATTTTCTTTTTTTTTTAAAGAGATTTTCATTTTTTTAAATAAGATTTTATTTATTTATTTGGCAGACAAAGATCACAAGTAGGCAGAGAGGGGGGGGGGGGGGGGGGTTGGCAGCAGGCTCCCCGCTGAGCAGAGAGCACGATGCGGGGCTCGATCCCAGGACCCAGAGATTGTGACCTGAGCCAAAGGCAGAGGCTTAACCCACTGAGACAACCAGGGTGCCCTTTAGATGGGATTTTCTTATGTGGTTGCACAGAAGGATGTCTGTCTTTATTCTTAGGAAACGCAGGCTGAAATATTTAGGAGACATGAAAAGCAATTATGGCAAATGTTAACACTTATTCAACCCTGGAGTTAAGTACTTGGGTGCTCCCTGAACTATTCTTTCAACTTTCCACGTGGTGATGCTGGAACCAAGCTGTTGACAGTCCCAAAGCCAAGCGGCCTCAATGGGAACTGTTTTCATATGGCACTATGCCAGCGCTGCAGAGAGAAGAGTTAACATTATTTCTGGATTAATTCAACCACCTCCACCCAAAGACCTGCACGACCAGAAGAACCCATACAGCAACACCCAGCTCGCACGCCTAAAAGCCTCACCGCTTCTTCCAGTTAGTGACGACTGTGAGTAGGACAGACTCTCTGAATTCTCCAGACCAAAGAAGAGGTTCGAGATGAATTCCCGAAAGCAAGCAACTTCCTGGGACCCCTGTTCTTACACCAAACCACTGTAACCTGACGTTTCCACCCCCTCCTTCACTCTCCATCGATTCTAAGAAGAACGCACATTTCTTCTGAGATAAGGAACTTCCCGAAGTTTCTTCTGTCCTTAGCAGCTCTTGCACACTCTAACAAGTAAATCCCTCCAGAACTGCCTCGAGGCCGAGCACTTACGCCGCTAGTAAACAAGGCAAAATCCTTGCCGGAGGTCCGTCACTAAGTTGCCCAACCTCGGCCCGCTGCAAATGGAAAACGCCTACCGTCCTCGGAACGCAAGGTGATGGCGAGGAGCAACAGGGCGCGCCCAGAAGAGTGCGCACGGCTGCGGGCGGAGCAGGGCAGCGCTCGCCGGGGGGCCCGCGCCTGCGTGCGAGCGAGCAAGGGGCTCCGGGCCTCCGCGCGTGGTCTGCGCGCGCCCGGCCGTGCGTGCGGCTGCGGGAGGCTGCGTGTGCGCGCGGGGCGGCAGAGTCGGCCGCCCGCCAGCGGGTGTCGGTGCAGGCTTCGTGCGGTGCGCGGGAGGTGAGTGTGAGGCGGGGTCGCTGGGGGCGATCCGAAAGCCTTGGAGACTCCAGGCTGGGTGGCGGGCTTGGTCCTGGGACTCGCTTCTCCCGGACGGCACTGCGGAGGCGGCGAAGCCTGGGAGCGTTCAGGGCGGTGCCGCCCACTCCGGCCCTTTCCCAGAGCGCCGCCGAGGTGGCGCCGGAGCAGCCGCGCCCAGGGGCTCCGGCCTCTGCGACAAACAGCTGCCGGATCCCGGTGAGCCGGGAAGAAGGAGCCCGGCGGGGCCCTGACGACATTGAGGGCGCAGGGACGCGTGGCGGGCCCTGGCCGCGGCTGCAAGGAACACACTGTCCTGCCGGCTCTGCCTTAGGGCGCAGCCCCCGGATCCCCGTCGCCCTAGGCCGCTCCGGCGACAAACTCAGGGAGCAGCCCGGGGCGCGTTGGCCGGGGCTGCGGGGGAGAGGAAGGGGACGGTGTCTCAGTTTTGTGGATTTCCCAGCAGGCCCGAGGCGAACGCATTCCCTAGGCGTTGGGGAAGGGCCTGGGAGTAGGATTGTGGGAGGATTCGTCTTCATCGGGAGGGGTTGTAAGGAATATGGACCCAAGGAGGAGAATGGGCGGATTGGGCAGAGAAAAAAGGAAACCCCAAGGAGCTAGGGCTATCCAGAGGCGATCTTAACGCATACAGGCATTTTAAAAGAAATCTGAAAGGTGCAATGGAGCCTCACTTTTCCAAGCAATGAGGAATGATGCCAGTAGTAAGCAACGCCTTGTATTCCGTATTTCCTTCTCTTCCACTCCTCCCTGTTGGATTAGGAGGGAGAGTTGCAAGGCAGAGATGGGTTTTTTATCCTCTGTAATTTGCACATAGTACCAGTGTTTAGGACGGGCTGCCTTGTCAGGAAAAGCTGGTACCAAGGAACAGATTACCAAACCGTATCTTTTTTTCTGTTGTCAGAAGAAAGGAAGATTTGAGTTTGCAGTCTTCAGCTGAGAATAAGTTTGTGTTTTAGCTTTCCCCAGGTGTCTTAGAGGGATGGAGGGAGCTGATTTTGTGCTCTCAGAATGTGTTGATGCCTGATGAAAGCACATCTGAACTTGTATCAGTCTAAAGAAGGGAGCTGTTTATTAAGAGATAAGAGTCTAAAACATTTTTTTCTTCTAGACTAGAAGGTTCATTCGAATGAATGGTCATTGGGTAATTCTAGCCATGAAAATAAAGCCTGTTACCAAAACAGTGGCCAAATTATAATTCCAGAGTGGATGCATGAGGTGATTTGAGAGCAAGAAGGAAGAAGAGAGGACCAAAGCTTTTCCAAAAATGAAGAGAATGCTGATGTATGATACTTTGCTCCTGTAGCAGCTTGCTAGATATAGAACATTGATTTTAGATGTCATATTGCTCGATGGTGTTGAGTTATGACTTAGATGTATTCTTTTTCTGTTCTTTTGCTCAGTAGTTCACAGCAAATCTTTTAATTAAGCATGGAATATAGAAAACAGCAGAAAAACGTCTTCTAGTGCTTCAGTCTCATCTGAAATTCTATAGGTAAGTTCATCTTATTTTAATTTAGAAATCATCCTACTGGTTAAAACTGACTGTGAGTCTCCTTTACAAGATTTTAAGGATCATTTACACAGCTACAAGTTCTGTTGTATATTCTAGTATATCTTTTTTCCTTGGAGGATTTGAGGAGTTGTAAGAGTTAATCTTTACTAAACCCTCTTGGATGATACAGGTATTTCTAAAAATTGGGTTATTATTAAATTATGTGGTAACTCAGGAAAAGTTAACTATGTGAACTTAATTTGGTGGCCATATTCAACTTAAACTCCACTCTCTTTATTCCTAAGAAAATACTCCAGTGGATACTGTTTCCTCTGTTCTTATCCCTTGAAATGATTTGCCTTCTCTCTCTGCCCAGTCTGGAGTTCTGTTCTTTACACCATTGGGTGATCCAGGTAGAATCCCATTAAGCGCCTTTATCCCATTCACAACAATATAACGTCGAGGCCAAATACACTTTCTTCTTGCAGCTCTAACAGTTACCATTGCTCCTCCGTGCTTACTATGTGGTAACCACACTGTACAACTTCCCGAACAAGGTCAAATGTGGTGGGTCAAATAGCATGCTCTTAAATGGCTTTGCACATCAGATGCATTCAAAAGTTGCAGTTCATTTGACAGAATGTCTTTTGCAAATATCTCTTTTGGGACTGTGAACAATGGTTTTATTTCAGTAAAAAATTGCCTATTATTAATATTGATTTGCTTTTGGTACCAGAGCTCTTGGTGCATTGTGAATTATATGTGAGGAGAAGGTGAAGGTATGTGCAGGAAGAATAGTAGTTTGTAGGAGGCTTGTCTAGATGAGGGAAGTTGAAGCCACAGAACATCCCCAGGGTGAGGCCCTGAGACACTGCAGGATGGAAGATTTGGCCAGGAAGATGACTTGTAACCCCTGCAACTCTGAGAAATCAGGAAGTAAAGCCAGAAAGCTAGGGTAGAGTATGAATTTTTCATTCTATGTGTTTCTGACCCTGAATTAGGAAGCCAGGCCTTTTGTTGTCCCTTTAGAGCATCCATAGCCTAGGGTAATACTCATCATCCCTGTCTGCCCTTCGGGAACCATTTTATGTGGGAACATGTTACCACTACTAGGATCTGCTCTTCAGTGATAAGGAAACACAGAGAAGAAAGAGCTTAGGAAATTGAGATTTTCTTTTCTTTTCCTTTCCAATTTTTTTTTTTTTTTTTTTTTTTTTTTAATTAAGCTCCATGCCCAGTATAGGGCTTGAACTCACAACTCTGAGATCAAGAGTCACATGCTCTACTGACTGAACCAGCCAGGCACCCCAGGAAATTGAGCTTTTCTTGATGTTCTAAGATATGCCATTTCATGGGGCTAGAACAACACTTGCAGACCAGCAACCTGTTTAGTGAATAAAGTTTTTTGGAGCACAGCCACACCTATTTGTTTAATATTGTCTACGGCTCCATTTTTGCTACAAAGGCAGAATCAAGTGGCTGGGATAGAGACTGTATGGCCCGTAAAGGAATTGTTTGGTATCTGCCCTTTTATTTAAAAAAAAATTTTTTTGCCACTCCTGGGATAGAGCACAGAATTCTGCTGAATCCCAAGCTGTGTGTTTCAAACAGGCTTTTTAAAGTTAGCATAAAGAAGCAGTGTATTTGGCTCCTATTTTGGTAACAGACTTTGTTTTCAAGGATGGGGATACCCCCTAAGAGAAAAAACTCTTACCAACTCTTCTCTCTTAATTAAATAGTTCTTTTCTCTAAACTGATAATAGGTTCTGTAATTTTTGTTTTTATCAAGCATCTGCACGTTCTGAAAGTGCAAAGATGGCTCCCGGCCACAGACCCTGAGCACGCATTTAGAGACAGTTGAGCTGGGAGGTCTCCCTCCCATCTTCTCCAGGTGGGCTTTACCCATAATGTTCAGTCTGAACCTTGAGGAGTCCTCAGCCTTCCTCCATGCTCTGCATGGTATCAACAACTCAAGGGCAAGGCAGGGATCTTTTTCCCCATTGCAGTCCCAGCCGCTAACACAGGCCTAGCCTGTGTTAGAAATGAAGAAATGAATGAAATACACTTAGATAACTGAGGGAAAGGTAGTTGGTGACTTAGCTGACAGACAAGGTTTCGATGACAAAGATACATAATATTCCTAGCCTAGGGCAACAGTGAGAAGAAATATTAACTAGAGCAGCTTCCGCTGTCCTTTTCCTCCAATGAGTAAAGCTGTTTATAACAAAACAGAGACAGGAAGCCCAGCTTTCAAGTCAGCTTTCCTGCTGTTCTGCCTGACTTGTATGATCTTTGCTCTGCTCCAGTTTTCCTAGCTTCTCTCCAGACCCGGTCATCTTGTTGCCTCTTCCCTTGAACACATGGCTGTTCTGTCATGTGGCTCTTTCAGATTGCTCACATCTGAGTGCAGAGGTACATCCACTTTTGCTCTATTTGGGTGTTTTGGTCAGTACCATATTCTCACAGTCCAGCATGAGCCCAAGAAGTGTATGTTCAACATGACCAACACACTGGCCATGAGGGATCAACCAGTTTTGAAACCAGCGAGGTGCCATCGTTGGGCTCACTTGTCCACTTCCTTCAGAAAGACCATTCAGTGCCCTGTCCTCTTCAGAGAAACTTGATTCTTGTGAATGATCTAAGGCTCCCTTGATCTTCAGGTGGAGGAACCTTTTGAATATGGAGATGAGTCAGTCAGACAAGTACTCTGAATCTCTGCAGGCTCCTGACAGGTCACTGCTTTTGTGTCTGAGTGTTTGCTAATGTTTACTGAAGGTCAGTAATTTATTCAGGGTTATTTGGGATATAAACTCATTAACATTATTCTTCTCAGCAGTTCCTCCTTTTCTGAAACGTGTACTTGAAAGGAACACTCGTTGGATATTGTCTGGATGAGAATTCGAAAGAGCATGATCTGCTTGGAAATTGAAGAGCGTTTGCGCAAAGGATTCCCCTCCTCCCCCCACCCCCCCCTTTTAAATTTCTGGGTTAGCTTTGAAGCTCTTCATCCCTGAGGAAGATCAGAAGTGCTACACTATGTGGAAGAAAGCATGAAGATGCCAGGCCAGTGAGATTAACACAAATTAGGAAAGATGCCTAGTGGTGCCATGGTTGGGGACCCCACTCAGGATGAGGACTGCGGGATTCCCAGCCTCGCTTGCTGGTTGTGAGAGCCTGACTCTTGATCAGGTCTCCACGTCTCAGTCCCCTCAACTGGAACAAAGATGCTGTGGTCGTAGTGCCTACCTCCTAGATTGTTTTAATCAACAAATAGTGGAAGTATGGGAAAGTATGGGAAGTACTTACTACAGTGCCAGGACCAAGCGGGGGCTTTTGCTAAACTTATGGAGAGAGGGGAATGTGAAGAAATTGGATAAAGTAGAAAGCAAGTTGGTTTTTTTTTTTTTTTAAGATTTTATTAATTTATTTGACAGAGACACAGCAAGAGAGGGAATACAAACAGGAAGAGTGGGAGAGGGAGAAGCAGGCCCCCCGCTGAACAGAGAACCTGATGTGGGGCTCGATCCCAGGACCCTGAGATCATGACCTGAGCCAAAGGTAGAGGCTCAACCCACTGAGCCACCCAGGCACCCCGTTTTTTGTTTTTTTTTTTTAACATTAACTTTGTTTGTCCTGACAGAGTAAAGCATATTTTGTTTTTGTTTTTTTTTTTTTAAGATTTTATTTATTTATTTGACAGATAGAGATCACAAGTAGGCAGAGAGGCAGGCAGAGAGAGAAGGGCGGGGGAAGCATGCTCCCCGCTGAGCAGAGAGTCCGATGCGGGGCTCGATCCCAGGACCCTGAGATCATGACCTGAGCCGAAGGCAGAGGCTTTAACCCACTGAGCCACCCAGGTGCCCCAGCATATTTCGTTTTTAAGTGTTATTAAATTCGGCAAGTATAGCGGTTGCAGTTCATCCATTCAGTCAATAAAATTTGATTCTCTATTATATGTCCAGCTGTGCTTCAAAGTCAGAGGGAGGAATGAGGGGTGTGATAGAAAGTATGGGTGGGGATTAACTTGGGATAAGTGGTCAGGGAAGGAGTCTCCTAAGTGACATTTTGCTGGGATCTGAAGCAGGAGAAGGAGCCAGCCTTTTCAGAAGCTTTATCAAATATGCCCAGTCCTTAAAATAGATTGATGCCACTTGAATATTTCACGCCTCAGTTTGAAAAGGTTAATGTATTTTGTAGTTCTCCGCCAGTTGCCAGAAATACCTATTATAGGGCTTTTGAGAGTTCAAATCATTCCCAGTTATGGGAGGATCACGGGGCAGGAGGAAGATCATGGGAGAGGGGAGCTTGTGTGGAAGAGGAACCGAAAAAGTCCGCAGTTGGCACGTGAACCTCTGTTAGTAGTTCCTATGAGCTTATATGTTCAGGGTAGCAAAACGTTAGGAACTTTAAGATGCTAGAAGAAACATCATCTTTGGATTCTAAAAGGAAGCTTTTTTTTAAAGATTTTATTTATTTGTTTGACAGAGAGAGACACAGCAAGAGAGGGAACGGAAGCAGAGGGAGTGGGAGAGGGAGAAGCAGGCTTCCTGCCGAGCAGGGAGCCCTATGTGGGGCTTGATCCCTGGACCCTGGGATCAGGACCTGAGCCGAAGGCAGACGCTTAATGACTGAGCCACCCAGGCGCCCCTAAAAAGAAGCTTATTGGGGTGCCTGGCTGGCTCAGTTGGTAGGTAAAGCACATGACTCTTGATCTGAGGGTCACAAGTTCAAACCCTACGTTGGGTGGGGAACCTACAGTGGGAAAAAAAAAAGAAAGCTTACTGATTTGGAGAGAGAATGTGGATAAACTAGTATTTATTTGCATGTCTACATGTGCTGTAGACCATATGGTGACCTATAAGAGACATGTCTACATGTGCTGTAGACCATATGGTGACCTATAAGAGACATGTCTATATGTGCTGTAGACCATATGGTGACCTATAAGAGACATTGGGAGCTAG